CTCACCCTATGTTGCTTTGCTCCCACGCGTCTCGTCCTCCCCTCCTCCCCTCGCCTCCTCCGTCGTCGCTCGTTGTCGCGCCTCCCCCTCTGTCTGACTACCTTCGTGCCGCGCGTCCTCTTGTTCCTCGTGTCCTTGCCTCCTTTGTTACCGACCCATCTGTTCTTGTCTCCAGTCTTGACGCTCTTGTCACTGCTGTCGCTGACTTTGCCTCTACCCACCGCCTTGACTACGCCACTGCTCTGGTCTCTGACCCTGTCCGTCCTCAGTCCGTCGGGGGGGCTCCTGTTCTTGGCAGTGACGTCCTAGAGGATAGGGAATACGAGATTGCTTTCCTCTCCGAAGCTGCTCCCCATATCTGCTCCATGCTGCTAGTCCCTGAGGGTGACCCATACGCTTTCGACATCCCGACCCCTCGCGCTTACGCTGAGGCGACCTCGAGACCCTGGGCCTCTCGGTGGATAGCTTCCATGGAGTAGGAGATGGCATCTTGGAGATCCATTGGCACCTTAGCAAACTTCTGCAGCCTGCGCAGGACCAAGGCTATTCTCAGCAACCATGATCCTCCTGTGTCAGGAGCCTCGACTGGAGTGGAGAGCGAAGCACATCCAGTTGCATTATTTCATCCTGCGCGAGCTACAGCAGTGACGCCAGGCCCACATAGTTCACTTGGCCTCTGGTGCCAGCACAACTGATATCTTTACTAAGGCGCTTGCGCCTAAAGATCATCAGCGCCACTGTGTACAGCTTGGTCTAGTTCCAGTAGCTCCTCACTTGCTAGGACCTTAAATGAGTACTACTCTTTTATGTATTCTCCTGACTGGCCGTGTGGCTACTGTTTTAAACGTGCATGTATCTGATTGTCTCTTTGGGTCCACCAATCTGGCTTCAGTTTACGAGAATTGTATTCTGGCAAAATATTTAACAGAGCTCGTAGAGCCCATCCCAAGCTTCCAAACGCACTGCGTTTGGACAATTTGGGCTACGGGTTTTTAAAGCCCAGGTCCCAAGTTACAAGACGCGGTTGGTTTTGCTAGCAAAGTCGGGGCGCAAAAATAAGGGTAAACCCATTCACCCTGGAGGGAACTGACCAACTCAGGACAGGGGTCAAAGGGGGCCATGCGATTGGTCGAAGCCAATTAACGACAATCGCCGAGGCCCAACCCACAGCCCTCTCCCTTGCTCCCGAAAACGACCAAGGGAAGAGTGATAGCAAATCTGTAAATTGGGACCCAGGGAAAGCCATTCTCCCACTCGTATTTTCCTAGGACTATGTGTCCTAACCGCACGCGGAGGCAAGCTAGGTCACGGGCTGGCCATACGAAACGAGATCATGCGTTCATTTAGGGCGAAATAGGTTCGGAATAAACCCATTCCCGCCAGTCCGAACCTTCTGCTCGTAGGCGGTCCCTCGCGAACTGCTTCCTGCTAGGCTTCGCGTCCCGCTTCCCGCTTTCTCATGCGTCACGCTACCCGCTTCCCCCCGCTTCTCGCTTCCCGATTTCCCTGACTCCCCACTTTCCTTCGCGTCCCGATTTGCGACGCTTCCCTATAGTCCTCTCTCTTTCCCCCTATGGTCCTCTCTCTTTCCCCCTATGGTCCTCTCTCTTTCCCCCTACGGTCCTCTCTCTTTCCCCCTACGGTCCTCTCTTTTCCCCCCTACGGTCCTCTCTTGTTCCCCCTCTCGTCCTCTCGCTTTCCCCCTCGCGTCCTCTCTCTTTCCCCTTCCCATCCTCTCGCTTTCCCCCTCCCGTCCTCTCTCGTCCCCCCTCCCGTCTTCTCTCTTTCCCCCTCCCGTGCTCTCTCGTTCCCCCTCCCATCTTCTCTCTTTCCCCCTCCCATCCTCTCTCGTTCCTCCTCCCGTCCTCTCCTTTTCCACGCCCTTACTCTACGCCATTTCCTGTTCCTCTCCCACACTCTCTAAACCGCGCCATTGCATCGCCCTCTGCGAGTTGCATCGCGCACAGAGCTCGCATGCCGCCGCGGCATACCAATTGGACGCGTTGAGCATGGTGTGTGATTCCAGTCCGATCGTGGTACTTCGGTCGTGCTTCGCCTCTCGTAATACCGTCCCCTGCTACCCCATTCGATAATCCCCTCGCTTCTCCTAACTCCATCTGCATACCTCTCCCCATTCTCAACCCGTCGTCTCGAGTTCCCCCTCTCGTCGTCTCTCCGTCCTCTTCCCGTCCTCTTCCCCCCCCCTCTCTCGTCGTATCGCCACCCCCCTCTCAGTGTCTCCCCATTGGCTCCGCGCTATTGGCTTCGTGTATCTTCTTGTGCTATTGGCCCCGCGCTAACAGTGGCGATGGGACACGCAGGGGGGAATATGTGGCGCGACGGGGCTTTGGTGGATGGATAGGGGGGAACGCATGCCGAGTTTGTCGAGCTGCTCTAGAATCGGCGATTTGGACTTCTTGGATTGCGCGTGGGGGGGGGGGACCGTGATGATGCCGAGAGTGCATGAAAGGCAGCGCTTCAAGCGCTGTTTTTGCAAGGCTCTGTGGCATTTAGGCGGCTATGCCTTTTGCCCGTGATCACTAGTCTAGAAACTGTCGATGGACTTAGAACTTGAGTTTAAAGCGCGGGGTCTAGGTTTAGCAAATGTTGAGCATTTGCGTCGAAAAGGGTTGGGTTTATTGGCTAGCGAGCTACGAAATGTACAACTTCCTCGCCAGCTCTTGCGAACCCCAAGCCAATTCGCCCAACCCTTGTGACAAAACCCAACCACACACCCAGCAAATAAAACAAAGCGCCCAACCAGTACAGCCGGCTCGGCGCAAGGTTACGTGCCCATCAGTTTGTGAATTGTGACGCCAACACTCAACTCTCTGCGACAGGTTGCGACCAACCACCAAGCGCCTGTGAAAAACGTGGGCACCAAAACAACTACTGCCACAGCAGGAGCCTGAACTCCCAAGGAACACACAGCTATCACTTGGTTGACCTGGCGCGGAAACCTGCACCCGCGCCGAGAGGTTACACAGCTATCCTGCAATTTCTAGGGTGCGGCACGAGCGCGGGCGCACACAGGGAGCAGCATGGCCACTCAATCCGCCAGGACATCGAGTAAGCGACGTACATTGCCAATATAAGCTGGCAAAAAAAACACTAGCGTTAGAGTCGAGTGTGCCGAAATAGGAGACGAGAAATGCCCACAGATCGCGACGCGAGGTGCCCCTCCCAAGCGGCGCACAGAGGTCAGTCCGTACAGCTTTTGGTGGTTACATGTATGTGCTTCCGGCGACATTGGGAAGAGGGAGACGTTTCTCCGGTATCTAGGGCATGGATTGAATAGGATATTTTTCCTACGGGGGTTGTTTCCATTGCAACCGATGAGAATTGTCAGCACTTGCTCCAAACATAGGATCCGACAGGAATGTATGATCCATTACTCCAGAATTGGTCACAGTGGGGTCATAAGGCCTTCGTCGAGTGCTGCATGCCTAAAAGGCTGGGAAGTTGTACTTTGTGGCATACGGAGCAGGTAAAGTTATGCTAGGCTAGCAGTGAAGTTCACCATGATCCAAAAACTGAATCATCGATTTACATGTACCAGCTTTAGGCGCCAACCATTTCGTAGTCTTGCTACTCCCACTTGGGTCCGTCATTTCCTGTCATTATACGGTATGTGGCCTCATGAGCAGATAGATGGGATCCACGCAGTGATAATACTAAGGTAGAGAATATCACCGATGAAAACTAATTGATACGTATAGGACTTTAGTATAAGGCCCATATAGATGGTTACGCTACTCCGTGGGCACATAAGTTCGTGTCGTCGTGGTCACACCAAACCATAGGGGTGAGATGTGGGGATGGGAGTTATGTGTAATACAGCTACACGTAATGATAGCCAAAGATGACGTGTTACCCACCCATTACCAACGCATTTGCCCCTTTGGCGGCTTCATGTCCCTCTCTTTCCCTATCCCATTCCCCAATGCTGCAAGTGTTTTATCATTCTCGGCCACTGCCTTGACCCTCCTGTTTCGTGCGCGCCCCCTCCTCCCCCACCCCTTACCACTTCGTGCCTGGGGTGTCTATAAACACTCCCACTGCCTGGTACCCTCAACTTCAGCCACGTCCGTCTCCCCTTTGTTGTGGGGTGTAGTTCCACCCTCGCATGCAGTATTTACCCCTTTGAAGCTTTCATTTCCCTCTCTGTCCCCAACCCATTCCCCATTGTAGCGTCGCCTGCTATCATTCTCAGCCACTGCCTTTACCCCCTTATTTCGAGCCCGTTCCACTCTTGCCATACCCCCTTCCCCTGTGATTCAGTGCTGTTTCTCAACACTCCCACTACCGTTATCCCTCAGCTTCAGGGTCATCCCACCCTTGGCGGTCCATCTCCCCTTTGTTCCCATCCTCACCCACTGTCTTTACCCCCCTGTTTCGTGCAGGTCCCGCTCTTTCCCGAACCCTTCCCCCTATGTTGCTGGGGTGCTGTCAATCTCAGCCCCTGCCTTTACCCCACCGTGGCGTGCCCGTCCCACTCCTCCCCCCCCCCCCCCCCTCTCTTCCCCTGGGCAGCATCCCTTGGGCAGCATGGTTTGGGCAGCATGGTTTGGGCAGCATCCCTTAGGCAGCATCCCTTGGGCAGCATGGCTAGTAGAACATGGCTTGGGCAGCATGACTTAGGCAGCATCCCTTGAGCGGCATGGCTTGGGCAGCATGGTTTGGTCAGCATGGTTTGGCCAGCGTGGCTTGGGTAGCATTGTTTGGCAGCATGGCTTGGGCAGCATCCCACTCCTTCCAAACAACCCCCCCCATTCCCCAATGTTTTTGCAGCGTCCCATATCGCTACTCCATTACGAGGCAGCCCTAACCCCATTGCTTTCCAGTATACTTCCTTTGCCACCCCAACGATTTCCGCATGCCCACCACCTTTGCCCATCTCTGCATACTAGCAATCCGGCCCCCAACCGCACCGCGTCCCCTTGATTCAGAGGCAAGCAATTGCCAAACAGGCTCCCACAAGGGATGAACCTGCAAGTGACCCTAACCCCCTCTCGCTCTCCCAAATGCGAACCACCCCATCTCCCAAACTAGATGCGGGAGATGACCAATACCCTGCCCAGTTCAAGGAGATACTCGCGGGGCATCAGGCCAAATGGAACCTTGCCGTTAGTGTCCACTTGTTGACCCTGATAGCTTTCCTGCGATGTGGGCTGACCTCACTCATGAGGGGGGACAAGGAAGCGTCATTTAGTGACGTGCTGTGGGTGCTGCTTGAGGAAGGGGATGACGGCCTGAAGAAAATGAAGGTGGCTGCCGCCACGCACGGTAAGCCACTTAGTCACGTGTAGAGAGGAATAGCGCAACCACCCGCTTTTGTGCACACCGATATGTCCATACAGGTGACACATTGGCCCACAGGGCTGGCCAGTAAAACGTCCTCTACCACAGCAGCGTCTCCCTGATCCTTCTTCCGCCGCCCTCAACCCCTCTTTTCCTACCCCCCTCTCAAACCCTCTCTGCGCACGCCCCCACGTCTGTCCCAGGCCTCGATGTAAAGGATGCGCTGGATGTCATACACGGCATCTAGATTTGCAACGACAGAAGTTCACATATCGGCGGAAAGGCGATGTTGGGTCAACACGGGAAGTCATCGCGAGTCCGGCTAGATCGGTGAACCCGTTCAACTGGAACTTTCCACGGCTGGTGCGGAACGAGCAGGAGCGCCTGGTGCCAGCCAGGGGGTTCTCGCATGGCGGCCCGAGGCAGGGCACGGAGTATGAGGCAATGGCAAGGCAAGCAGGTAGGGTTGTGGGTGGCGGAGGGTCTAGCTTGGACTACTGGGTTTGAGGCATCCTACACCCGTGCTCGGCTACCCTCCCCCATATGCTTCCCTCATTCATACTTTCTCATCACTCCCATCCGCCCTATCCCATTCTTCAGCTCTCTCCCATCCCTCCAATTCGCCCTTCCTTATCGTACCACCCATCCACAATAGGCCACATCTTAGGGTCTAGTGGGGAGCCCATGCAAGCCTCCACCGCCCCACTAGAGGAGAGGACCGGGGGGCCAGGTATAGGAGCATCAAACGGAGGGGGGGAGCAGTGTCAAGATGGGTTGGAAAGAGGGGTGGGTACCATAGAGCGACCAATTGACACGCATGGGGGTACTCCAATGGTGGAAAGCACCCCAGCAGGGGTGTCGAGCATTGGCACTGTATGTGCAGGTCTTGCCGCACACCCACAGGTGGCCCGCATAGAGCCTTTGCAATCCATGCCCGACCCGCTGCAGGGGGAGAGGAGTGAGGGGGGGTGTGAGAGGGATGGGGGTGAAAGGGAGACTCTGGTGGAGGCAATTGGTCAGGCAGGGATGTGCCCCCATGTTAGTGCTCATGCTGAAAACATGCAGCAGGAAGATGGTGTAGCAGGAGTCGGGCGGGCGGTTGAGCAGAGGGGAGGTGGTGCTGTAGAGGACGTGCTCGCAGGAGCGGGTGCACCCTTGGTCTCTGATGGCCCCACGAGGGACAGGCCGGCCACAGTCAGGTACGTGCGACCCGTCGCACTTGGTTGCTTGCCCTCTACAAGTGAGCGCTATCAATAGCAGTCTGCCCCCCCTAGATTGAGTAGATGACCGGAGATCCAATAAGCCAATTTTTCAATTTTCTTATTGTTGCTCGTTCGCCCCCTCTCATCTTCCCCATGTTGGGCCCCTGCAACAGAGATGGCACACCACGACGAGGGGCACGTGGGAGAGGCCGGGGAAAGGCGCTAGAAGGATGGCCTGAGATGAGGACACTGGATCGCGTACCAGCAGGGACGGTATGTCTTCTAGATCCGCAACTGCTCATCCTATTCTTCTCATCAGTCACAATCGGTGGCTGCCCAGCGGTTGGTTGCATGGGTGACATGGTGTTCCATTCGTGGAAGATCGCATGGGCATGTGTCGGATTTGCATGGGTGTGCAATAAGTGCTACCACTTACGTGAGTTTTGGAATTCTGAACGGGAGAAAGCGGTGTTGACAGCAACTAGAAGAGGGCCCAAGTCAGCGAGTTCAAAACCAAAGTGGGCTGCCGCGTTTGCTCTGGCAGGGATTGGGTTCCAGCAAATGTGGGAAGTCAGTCGTACGCTGGGGATCAAGCCGATCGGAAAGAGTACGTACCGCCAATACATGCAGGGCTCGACAGGATTGTGGGGTGTGGTGGAGAGCCAAGCTACCCGTTCCATGGAGATGGCACGTGCGGCCATGCTCCCGGATGCAGACGGAGGTGTGTGGATCGCGGTGGATGGTAGATGGTCGCACCCTAGAGAGGCAAATTGGTGCACGATTTCTTTCTTACACCCTGCTACTAGAAAGGTTATCCATGAAGTCACGGTGAACAGGTATGTAGAGGGTATGCCGCCACAGTCGTTGGAGGGTTTATCGTTTTCCCAGGGCGTTGCACATTTGCAAGGTTGGGGTTTGAAAATAAAGGGAATCATTTGTGACGAGGGAGGGTCGTTTAAGAGAGTGGCAGATCGGGAGGGTTTCGAGCGGCAGATGGATACATGGCACAAGGCCAGGTCACTAGTCAAATTGTTTGTCAAAGAATTTGTTGAGTCGCGGGTAAAGGACATACGGGTTAGTGACGTCAAGTGTTGTGGGGATTTGTTCTTATTCACAAAAGGAGAACTATGGGCCTGGCTGCGGGATGTGGGAGGCGAGGTTGCTGGATTAAATCCCAAGTCAGGGAAGAAAACATTTATGAGAGTGGTGTGGAGTAGGGTGTCCATAAAGCCGTGGGACAATTCAGCTTGCGCGCCCAGCAAGTGGTTGTACCCAGAGATGCACAAAATCATGCGGTATTTAAGTGACACTTCAGAGTTCCCTACCTGGGGATGCAAACGACGCCGTACCACATGGTCCCAGTGTCCGCGAGGTGCAGGTATTGGGGGAACTGAAGCAGGTGTCATCGAGAGGGGGATGGGTGACAATCGTCGGCCTTTGGTAGACTTGTAGTGGAGCGAAATAGAAGAGTCTTATGCCTTCGACCCCCCATTTTTGAGCGGTGCTACTCCTGATGCCAATGCCGAGTTTGTCCATCTCACTGCTGCGACTCTTTTGGATGAGGTGGAGACGGACAGTGTACCCGCTGCAGTTGACGGGCAGCAAGGCGAGGGCAGAATAGAGGCCGAGCCAGCATCAACTACAGAGCAAACTCGAGGTCGGGGGATGCAAAAACCGGTATGGGTGGAGAGGCGGTCAGTAAAGAGGCAGAAAGGAGGGCAACGCAAGGCAGCGGATGGGGTGGAGGCCGCGGATGTGCCAGAGGATGCGGATGAGACGTTTGTGGATGAGGTTACTATTGCACAGCGGTTCAGTGTTCACTTTCACCATGTTATGCTCCGGTGTGCAGTTGCTAGACGAGAGGGTAGAGTTATGACCGGCGGAGGTTTCTGCTGAGATCATTGGCTGTGCGGATCATTGGGCTGGTGTACACGACTAGTGTCACTCGCACGGGCGGGCGCCCAGGTGTAGGACGGAGAATTGGGGCACGCAGAATGCGATCTATGCTTGTAACTCAAACACCCACATCCAGTTCAAGAAATGGTTAGAAAAGGTGTGCAGTCCAGCAGTCATGGAGTCCTATGTGCACGGTGCAAGCAATTGGTGCAATGAGTCGTTCCATTCGTTGATTATCAAATATGCACCAAAGCGTGTGCATTATGGCCGTAGCATGCAGGCAAGGGTAGCACTGGCCGTATTGCATTGGAACCACACGGTCGACCGGGTTGTCAAGGCGCTCAAGATCAGAAATAGACGAATCACGCGCGTAAGGAGAGGGAGGCAGGAGCGTGTGCTAGGGCCCATGGTATGGACTTGGCTGGATGCCATTGTGGAGGAGTGGCATGACTCCAACCGTCCTCCGACGGCGAGTCCACCACACCCGCGGGACAGTCCGCCTGCTCCCCACACCCCTTTTGCCCCGACGGTGTGTCCCAACACTGGTGCATCTCCAGCCACCCCGGTGGCCGGCAGGTTTGCCTTCACGTCCCCAGCTAGGGGTGCACCTGGGGGAGATGCAGTGGCCCGCACACGGTAACGTGCGCCCCAGTCACACACCCCCGCCTGCCGCACGCCGGATATTCCGTACGTGGCTCGTTAACGGCACAAGTCCTGCTCTTGTGATTTGGAAGGTGCGGCGTGGACACGTGCGCCAACTTTTCATCTCCCTTGTACCCCAAAACAGGAGAGGATACCGACACAAACTGACGAGTCTAGCGTAGACAGCGCATTACGCAGGCCATTCCGCCGGCCAAGACGCCTCCCTACTTGGTGAGTTGGATGTGTTTTGTCCCATCAGCAATAGTACCTGGGCTGTCCGTTTGTTGTGCCGTTCATGTCGTGTGTTATATCCTCCATTCCCCTGAACCGATCGACTCCCTCGTCCTCTTGTAACCTATAATTTCCCTTTATACCACCGCCTCCCTGCACCCAGGTTCGACGACTACATTGTTATGGATGACAACAATGTTGACAACTCAGCAGGCCGGAAGAGAGAGAAGTCGCTACAGCAGGTAGAGGGACAATGCCTCCGCACCCACCCGTGGCACGTCGTGGTTGTTGCGGATGCACCGGCCTGTTTGGGCATGTTGCTAAGGCTTTCTCTTGACAGCTTGCTTCTTGTTGTAAGGTATGTGCATGCGAATTGGTATAAAATGTACACCACAGGGGTGGGAGAGTAGTTTCCTGCACAAAGCCCGCAGATCCACTCCCCTTTTTCTGGCTGACCCCACTTCATACCCTCTTCCCCTGGAGGCCCCGACGCATTCCCAGCAATCAGAAGGGGAGAAGTTGGGTTTCAGGGGAGCTGGAGTGGCGGTGGTGGCTACCTTTGGGGGGCAGGAGCAGGCAATTTTGCAACAGGACGGGCTGATGGCACTGCATACCACAAAGTGGCCCCGGCATCAGAAGCAGCAGCGGTAGTGGCAGCAACCACGGTTGAGGCAGCGGTGGCTGCACCCAGATCCGGGCAGAGGGACATGCTGCTGACCGCAGATCCTTGGACCCGGTGTTGAAAGGTCCCCTGCAGACATAATCGGGCATGGAGGGGAGGAGAAGAGGTTGAGGATGCGAGGGGGGCTGGGGGTGGGAATAGGTGGAAACGAGGTGGCCAGCAATGGCAGGGATGCTGTGCATAGTGGCGGGAGTGGCAAGGGAGTGGGGCTGGAGTGGGAAGAAGTGGGACCGGAGTGGGGCGGGTGGCGGAATGTAGTGGGGCGGAGTAGGGCTGGCGCTGACAGGGGATGCCAACGGTAGGGGCTGGGGGTTGTGAAGGGGTGGAAACGAGGTGGCCAGCAATGGCCGGGATGGTGAGCAGAGCTGCCGGAGTGGGAAGAGAGTGGTCCAGGAGTCAGAGTGGAGTGGGACGAGAGTGGGAAGTGAGGGGGACTGGAGTGGGTCCAGAGGGGGATGGGAGTGGGACTGAGGGGGAAGGCGGGAGGACTGGAGTGGTCGGCAGTGGGACTGGAGTCGGGAGGGGTTGAAACTGGAGGGGGCAGGGAGTGGGACTGGAGTGGGAGGGAGTGGGACTGGAGTGGGACCGGAGTGGGAAGGGAGTGAGACAGGAGTCGGAGTAGGCCAGGCGCTGTTAGGGGATGCTGAAGGTGGGGGGTTGGGGGTTGGGTAGGGGTGGAAACGAGGTGGCCAGCAATGGCCAGGATGATGAGCAGAGCTGCCGGAGTGGGAAGAGAGTGGCCCTGGAGTCAGAGTGGAGTGGGACCGGAGTGGGAAGGGAGTGGGACTGGGATGGGTAGGGAGTGGGAAGGGTGTGGGACTGGAATGGGGAGGGTGTGGGACTGGAGTGGCACTGATGTGGGTCTGGAGTTGGGCGGGTGGCGAGAGGTTTCACAGCCCTGTTTCCGAACAGAGTGCGGTGCAAATGCCGCACACTCTGTGTTGGGGCGTAGAAGCGGAGGACCAGGGGGAATGGGGCTTAATTTAGCGGCGGTCTGACCCCATCGATATTGATGCTTGTCCTTATACCGTAATCCCCCGTATATAACACCCTATGGTGTATATAAAAATTCACTAAAAAAATGACTGGGTGTTAACAGTGGCCCAGAAAAATATAGTGCCCATGTGTTATGTAAAATGCAATTTGAATTTGAATGTTTCAGGCCATGTGTGTTCACAAATGCGCGGAGCGACTGCTAGCGAGGTACAGCATCCGCTAACACGAAACTCACAAACCAATCGTCGTTGGCCAATCACTGCTGAGTGTTGTGGTCAGGGCCAGGTTTGTGCGGCACCTGCGACCGTCATGATCGCGACAGAATCCGCGACTTCGACGGGAGGATTTCGCTCGGGAGGATTCTGACCGTCAAATCACAACAGAATCCGCGACTTCGACGGTCGAAATCCTCCCGAGTCTCGACCTTTGCTGACGTTTCGATTTCGCGCTGCAACTTGTGTTGATGTTACTGCCCGTTTTTTCGTTGCTAATGGTAGTTGACATTGCGTTTTTCATCCTGTTCGTTTTTTTCGCAATCGAGATGAGCTTGAAAAACTACGAAATATTGTTCTTTGCTGCATAAAACGAGGAGGGTGTTATGTAAAATGCAACCCCCGAAAAGCGGGTGCTCTCCTAGATTCACCCTATCATAAGCTCTCCCCCGCATAAACCACCCGCGGAGTGACTATTTCGGCGGGTGTTATCTACGGGGGATTACGGTACGTTACAATCCAAATCCCTGGCAACAGAAGGGCATGGCCCAAACACAGTATTAAGTAGCTATCTGTGTATCAGAGGGAGTTTCTCTCTCTCTTCCTATGGCTATCTAAGATCCTGTGACTGTATCACTCAGGCTGCAATTTATCCCTACGTGCCTCACTTGTTGACAAACGGCCCCAACCACTGGCACCCTTGACCCGTTCCTGTTTTCCATGCCGGCACTTGAGCAGCGCCTGAGTTACGGGCAAAGATGGGACAGATGGGCGGATATGCATGGGTATAGGACGGGTTGGGAGGAGGGAGGAGATAGGATGGGATAGGAGGAGATGGGTGGAGGTGGGAGGAGATGGGATGGGATTGGTGGAGATGAGAGGAGATAGGACGGGATGGGTGGAGATGAGAGGAGATAGGACGGGATGGGTGGAGATGGGAGGAGATGGGATGGGATGGGTGGAGATGGGAGGAGATGGGATGGGATGGGTGGAGATGAGAGGAGATAGGAATGGATGGGTGGAGATGAGAGGAGATAGGACGGGATGGGTGGAGATGGGAGGAGATGGGATGGGATGGGTGGAGATGAGAGGAGATTGGACGGGATGGGTGGAGATGAGAGGAGATACGACAGGATGGGTGGAGATGGGAGGAGATGGGATGGGATGGGTGGAGATGAGAGGAGATAAGACGGGATGGGTGGAGATGGGAGGAGATGGGATGGGATGGGTGGAGATGGGAGGAGATGGGATGGGATGGGTGGAGATGAGAGGAGATGGGACGGGATGGGTGGAGATGGGTGGAGATGGGATGGGATGGGTGGAGATGAGAGGAGATAGGATGGGATGGGTGGAGATGAGAGGAGATAGGACGGGATGGGTGGAGATGGGAGGAGATGGGATGGGATGGGTGGAGATGAGAGGAGACAGGACGGGATGGGTGGAGATGAGAGGAGATACGACGGGATGGGTGGAGATGGGAGGAGATAGGACGGGATGGGTGGAGATGAGAGGAGATAGGACAGGATGGGTGGAGATGGGAGGAGATAGGATGGGATGGGAGGAGATGAGAGGAGATTGAACGGGATGGGTGGAGATGAGAGGAGATGGGATGGGATGGGTGGAGATGAGAGGAGATGGGATGGGATGGGTGGAGATGAGAGGAGATAGGACGGGATGGGTGGAGATGAGAGGAGATAGGACGGGATGGGTGGAGATGGGAGGAGATGGGATGGGATGGGTGGAGATGGGAGGAGATGGGATGGGATGGGTGGAGATGAGAGGAGATAGGAATGGATGGGTGGAGATGAGAGGAGATAGGACGGGATGGGTGGAGATGGGAGGAGATGGGATGGGATGGGTGGAGATGAGAGGAGATAGGACGGGATGGGTGGAGATGGGAGGAGATGGGATGGGATGGGTGGAGATGAGAGGAGATAGGACGGGATGGGTGGAGATGGGAGGAGATGGGATGGGATGGGTGGAGATGAGAGGAGATAGGACGGGATGGGTGGAGATGAGAGGAGATAGGACGGGATGGGTGGAGATGAGAGGAGATAGGACGGGATGGGTGGAGATGGGAGGAGATAGGACGGGATGGGTGGAGATGAGAGAAGATAGGATGGGATGGGTGGAGATGAGAGGAGATAGGACGGGATGGGTGGAGATGAGAGGAGATAGGACGGGATGGGTGGAGATGGGAGGAGATGGGACGGGATGGGTGGAGATGAGAGGAGATAGGACGGGATGGGTGGAGATGAGAGGAGATAGGATGGGATGGGTGGAGATGAGAGGAGATAGGACGGGATGGGTGGAGACGAGAGGAGATAGGATAGGATGGGTGGAGATGAGAGGAGATAGGACGGGATGGGTGGAGATGAGAGGAGATAGGACGGGATGGGTGGAGATGAGAGGAGATAGGACGGGAGGGGGGGGGGAGGAGGATGGGTGGAGATCGAGAGGAGATAGGATAGGATGGGTGGAGATGAGAGGAGATAGGACGGGACGGGTGGAGATGAGAGGAGATAGGACGGGATGGGTGGAGATGAGAGGAGATAGGACGGGATGGGTGGAGATGAGAGGAGATAGGACGGGATGGGTGGAGATGAGAGGAGATAGGATAGGATGGGTGGAGATGAGAGGAGATAGGACGGGATGGGTGGAGATGAGAGGAGATAGGATGGGATGGGTGGAGATGAGAGGAGATAGGACGGGATGGGTGGAGATGAGAGGAGATAGGACGGGATGGGTGGAGACGAGAGGAGATAGGATAGGATGGGTGGAGATGAGAGGAGATAGGACGGATGGGTGGAGATGAGAGGAGATAGGACGGGATGGGTGGAGATGAGAGGAGATAGGACGGGATGGGTGGAGATGGGAGGAGATGGGATGGGATGGGTGGAGATGAGAGGAGATAGGACGGGATGGGTGGAGATGGGAGGAGATGGGATGGGATGGGTGGAGATGAGAGGAGATAGGACGGGATGGGTGGAGATGAGAGGAGATAGGACGGGATGGGTGGAGATGAGAGAAGATAGGATGGGATGGGTGGAGATGAGAGGAGATAGGACGGGATGGGTGGAGATGAGAGGAGATAGGACGGGATGGGTGGAGATGGGAGGAGATGGGACGGGATGGGTGGAGATGAGAGGAGATAGGACGGGATGGGTGGAGATGAGAGGAGATAGGACGGGATGGGTGGAGATGAGAGGTGATAGGACGGGATGGGTGGAGATGAGAGGAGATAGGACGGGATGGGTGGAGACGAGAGGAGATAGGATAGGATGGGTGGAGATGAGAGGAGATAGGACGGGACGGGTGGAGATGAGAGGAGATAGGACGGGATGGGTGGAGATGAGAGGAGATAGGACGGGATGGGTGGAGATGAGAGGAGATAGGACGGGATGGGTGGAGACGAGAGGAGATAGGATAGGATGGGTGGAGATGAGAGGAGATAGGACGGGATGGGTGGAGATGAGAGGAGATAGGACGGGATGGGTGGAGATGAGAGGAGATAGGACGGGATGGGTGGAGACGAGAGGAGATAGGATAGGATGGGTGGAGATGAGAGGAGATAGGACGGGACGGGTGGAGATGAGAGGAGATAGGACGGAATGGGTGGAGATGAGAGGAGATAGGACGGGATGGGTGGAGATGAGAGGAGATAGGACGGGATGGGTGGAGATGGGAGGAGATGCGATGGGATGGGTGGAGATGAGAGGAGATAGGACGGGATGGGTGGAGATGGGAGGAGATGGGATGGGATGGGTGGAGATGAGAGGAGATAGGACGGGATGGGTGGAGATGAGAGGAGATAGGACGGGATGGGTGGAGATGAGAGAAGATAGGATGGGATGGGTGGAGATGAGAGGAGATAGGACGGGATGGGTGGAGATGAGAGGAGATAGGACGGGATGGGTGGAGATGGGAGGAGATGGGACGGGATGGGTGGAGATGAGAGGAGATAGGACGGGATGGGTGGAGATGAGAGGAGATAGGACGGGATGGGTGGAGATGAGAGGTGATAGGACGGGATGGGTGGAGATGAGAGGAGATAGGACGGGATGGGTGGAGATGAGAGGAGATAGGACGGGATGGGTGGAGATGGGAGGAGATAGGACGGGATGGGTGGAGATGAGAGAAGATAGGATGGGATGGGTGGAGATGAGAGGAGATAGGACGGGATGGGTGGAGATGAGAGGAGATAGGACGGGATGGGTGGAGATGGGAGGAGATGGGATGGGATGGGTGGAGATGAGAGGAGATAGGACGGGATGGGTGGAGTGAGGAGATAGGACGGGATGGGTGGAGATGAGAGGAGATAGAGGGATGGGGGAGAGGAGAGGAGATAGGACGGGAATGGCGGAGATGAGAGGAGATGGATGGGGGGTGGGTGGAGGGATGGGATGGGTGGAGATGAGAGGAGATAGGACGGGATGGGTGGAGATGAGAGGAGATAGGACGGGATGGGTGGAGATGAGAGGAGATAGGATGGATGGGTGGAGATGAGAGGAGATAGGACGGGATGGGTGGAGATGAGAGGAGATAGGACGGGATGGGTGGAGATGGGAGGAGATGGGATGGGATGGGTGGAGATGGAGGAGATGGGATGGGATGGGTGGAGATGAGAGGAGATAGGATGGATGGGTGGAGATGAGAGGAGATAGGACGGGATGGGTGGAGATGGGAGGAGATGGGATGGGATGGGTGGAGATGAGAGGAGATAGGACGGGATGGGTGGAGATGAGAGGAGATAGGACGGATGGGTGGAGATGGGAGGAGATGGGGTGGGATGGGTGGAGATGAGAGGAGATAGACGGGATGGGTGGAGATGGGAGGAGATGGATGGGATGGGTGGAGATGGAGGAGATGGATGGGATGGGTGGA